AGGCAATGAGGGCTAGGCATCACGCTACCTTCAAAGGCAGCATGAGGATTGTGTCTACAAATACACCAACAATTCACCGTATCGACGTTTTCCTCCCCCACACTCACCTCACCTTCTCTCAGGGACTTTGTGTAGCACCTTCGATTTTGAGAAGTGTCGATGAAGCCAATCCCTGCAAACTAGTTCTTAAGTTTAAGGCTTCACTTAAAAGCCCCTATAGACGATTTTGTTTGGGATAGAAAACACGTCAAAAGGTCATGCTAGATGTCTCACGTTTAATCTAAACTTGAGTTAAGTGCAAAATTTAATCAGTTGAAAGGAGGTATGCAGAAAGTACGGATATCTACATGCTTATTTGATGTGAGTAGGCCACAGGTACAGCAAAGCTATGTGAACAGAGCATAAAGAGTACAAAGACGGTGCTCTTCGCAGCCTGTCTTCGCCTAACATTGGTTAAGGCTTTGGCATAGATGCCATCGTTTCTGTCACGTGCCAGGTAACACTTTGACACCGCTAACGCTAGCGTCTCACTCGAAAAAAGCACAGTTACAAGAAGCCTAGAAACTTGGAACAGCCATTGAATCTAAGTGAACTACGAACATCCCCAAGACCTCGCAGTTGGACCTCATTTTTAATAACCTTTATCTGACAAACAATGCCTTGTCTGCTTTTGTCGTGGCCTACCCTCTTGCCTTCACACACCATAAGAGAACAACATCATGACTGCTTAGCTTTGTCACTTCTGTGCTTGCTAATCTACTTAACGTGGACTTAGACACCTACTGCATCTTTTATCCTCGAAGTCTAAATTAGGGAGGTGGATGGAGTGGCACGCATTTTAGCCTAGCTGAATGCGCACGTCAAGTAGCAGAGGAGTTCAGGAGCAAAGAGAAGTTAGCGGTGGAAGAGAGATTGCCGTGTCGCTGTGCGGGTTCACGTGCAGCGTTTTGAACCTGTATGCAAGGATCCTGAAGGTGGATGCGTGTGTGCTTGCGTATATGTCTGTACGTGTGTGCGTTAGCATGTGCGCTCAGAAAGGTGACCCCACTCCTGCATGACTGACTGCTCAGAGGCCTGGCCCAGCCATTGGGTAGAGGTCTGCACATATACCCTTCTGCTATTCCACTTCTTCTGCATTGAAAACGAGAGGCCTCCAACATCGTCATGGATGAGGACAGGTGCCAAATTGACTTCAAACCCCGTAAGTGTACATAAATTTTAGATGTCGATCTCACACACTGACTACCACCATTTCTTACAACCTCCTCCCTTTCCCCTCTATTTGTTCATATAGTGAGCTTGGAGAATGTGCTTATGCTTGAACAGATACTTCGAAACCTCTTTGCTACCACTGCGGCCGCCATCACTGCCCAGCCCACTACACAGCCATCATTACCGCCTATCCCGGAGCCTGCGATGGTGAAGCAACCTGATCAGCCCCTCGATCTTTCCATGAAGTCGGACATGTCATCAGTGGAGGATTTGGACTATGCAAGTGGCAGTGAAGGGATTAAAGAAGTCCATGGGATAAGTATGGACGATTCATTCCTCGACCAACATTTGGATGGAGAACTTCTGCAATGTAAGTTCATCAACCCTCACCCTGAGTGCAAGTGCCTGTATTAAAGAGCATTTCTCGATCAACTGAAGATAGTTTGATTTTGCAAATACAAACACAGCACAGTTGCGAATTCTCAGCTCTATACACTACCAAAACTTCCCACTCAGATCGTAGGTTTGCATTTGCAGTGCGTTATGTGAGTTTATAGTAAGTGTCCTCCACTCCCTCCTTCGCTCTCTCAAAAAAATTTTTCCCACTTTCCCAATGATCGGAACTTAAAAATCAGTGTTTACATTTCAGTATATATTTGCATGCGAGTCTCAGCTTACAATGTCAAGACGTCTTTAAAGAAACTTCTCCATTTCTTAAAAACACATTGACTTAAATTGCGAATTGCTCGAAGT